AACAAATGCGTTCAGAGAAGTCTTTCCCATGCTGGCTCCAGCAACCTGCTTTTCTAGCAGTGCAGAAAAGGGGTCTGCTTGGCGCGTCGGCACTGCAACACAAAAATATCAGCCCTAAATTGCTGCAAATTCAGCAACATACTCGAAAATCAAATGAAGTTTACATCTTCTTCAAGTGGTACTTACGCAACTGCTGCAGCACGAAACGCGAAGGCGGTCTGTTTGCTTTCAGTGCCTACGCTAGCTTTTGCAGGTGCTTCACCTGGTGCTTATCTGGCTACATTACGGTCTTCCCTGTAATGAGAGATTAATATCGCCTTTATGCAAGGCTTGAGGCGCTCCTTTGGGAGAGCCTGTCTCTTCCAACGCTTCATTCTTTGTGCCTTCGCTGGTTACTGCAGTTACTACACCTGATGCAGCAGGTGTCGCAGCGTCTCCAACTGTAGCCTGAACAGTTCGCCCTGGGTCAACGAGATCATTCGCAGAAAAGCCGCTGGAACGACTGCCTGCCCGAAGCGCTGCATTTTTTTTCGGCTCTCCTTGTTCACCGCCGCGGTCGGTGCTATCCTTCGGATCTGCCTTGATCCCTGCGTCATATTGGACAAGAGCTCGTGCACTGCGTGCTAGATTTAGACGAGGCGTCAACGGAAAGTTCAAAAGAGAGGCGTCTAAAGCAACGAAGCAACGACACACGAAAATGGCACGCTGAAGGATCACCAAATAGCTCCAAAGAAACTTTTCCTGTGGAGGCTGAAACTGCCGGCTTTTCTAGCATGATAAAATAAGACTCTGTACGGCCGTTGCGCACTGCAGCACAAACAAATCAGGCCTACACGCCTGCAAACTCAGCATCACACTTGAAAGAGCAACTTGTGCGGCTACCCTGTGCACATTCTTGTGCGGCTACACAGTGCACACTCAAGGGATCGTCAAGTTGCGAACAAGACGGTGAAATCTGAAAGACAAGAACTCGGGCGCGTCCTGCTCGAAGCTTCAGGTCCACCTACACCGTATCGGTCGCGCGTAATGCGTAACCGCGACGCTCAGCTCCTCCCTTAGTGCCAACAAATCGCGTGTAGACTGCAATGCCATTACCACCACACAACAAAGCTCCGCCAGTGATCCCAACTCTAGCTAAACGCCCCATTGCCGCAGGAGGACTCGAAGACTAACCCTCTCAGCAAACCGTTTCCTAAACGGCTTTCCTGAGAATATTCTTCCTCTAAGGTTGCCTAAAGAGCTTTGATTTTTCATATCCTGCAGGGAAATCGCAGATACGCGCAACAGGGCTGGCACTGCTCCAGGCATTGCTCTATCGCCAGGCATTCATCTCTCCAAATTGCTGTTTGCCTTCCTCCTGGTCCTTGCAAGCAAAAATAGAGCGTGATGTAAGTAGTCAACATGGTACTTACTACCTCCACAATCTCAATATGCAAGGTCACCGTACCAATGCCGCGTAGATTACAGTCTGCCTCGACCTTAGCTGCAGGGACCCCCAATATACGCAGCAGAGGGCAATGAAAATTAACGCCAACCATGCAAGCCACAGTTCAAGGAGCTCTCTGTGTGCGGAAATTCCAGAGTATGCTTATATGCACTGACTCATGCATGCGCTGCCGGTGCTGCAGCAGCTGTTGCTTCGCATTGATTCAACCAGAATGAGTGGCTGGCTCGGATATCTTACCTCGAAATGGTTCTCTATGTGGAGAGCAGAGGTTACCCATGGATTCCTCAAGCTTCAGTAGCTCTTGTCGTACTTCTGAAATGAACAAGGAACACGACGCGCACTGCGTCGGGGGGCTGTTGGAGCAGCACTGGCGAACCACAAATTAAACAACACCCACTGAATTCCAAGTAGGGTGGCGCGCATAGGAAGCATGCTGATGGTTTTGTTGCTGTTGCTGTATTATGGACCGACTTGTGCCTTGAGATGCGGAAAGTCATAAGGTTTTCCCAAATCTTCATAGTGGGGGGGATACAAATCCCCGATATCCAACTTCGGATAATAATACCAGCCTTCCTCAGATTGAGGTGCCTTTGAGCTGCTGGCAACAGTCTCACCTGCTACTCCTCCTACTGTTGGATTTGCTGCCGCATTAGCTTTTGCGTATGTGCGAGATATTTTCTTGCCGGCAGTTTCCAAGAGACCAGCCAGCGGCCCCATCCATCTCGCACGCCCCGGCCTTTCCGCTCTATGTTCCTCACATTCTTTTCCAGCAGCTCGATGGCCGAATTTGCTGTCGCAGTCGTCATCCTTGTCATCTGCTGCTGCTCCCGGAGCTGCTGCAGTGGCACCGCCAGATGCTTCGTCTTCATAGCTGCCGCTGACGCTTTCCTCTGCTGCACCGGTTCCTGGTGCTTGAGTATCAAACCTCATGTCTCCAGGCAAACTGTCTTCATTGGAGCCTTCAGTGACGCTCCAAAAAACGCATGCTGGGAGCGGAGCACAGGGGTGAAACAGAAACTGCACGTGGCACGAATTTGTTTGGTCTGATACACTTGAAGTGCAGATTTCCTAAACCTACTTGCGAGCGGGATGAGATGTCACCACCAAAGTCTGAATCTCCAGTCCTGCAACCATGTTCCGACAAGTGCTGTAATTGACGTCGAGCGCAGAGAGCCACTAGAAGTGCGATGGCGGGGTAAACTAGCAGCTTTAGTGCTGTGGAATATTGCCAATACACCCCTACCACTGGCAAGCCAGACCCTGAAATAGGCCGAGTAGCCTGAGGGAGTAAACCTGAGTCCCGACTATTTGTCGGGCTAGGAGACCACTCATAATGCAATTCCACCCCCATGAGTGCCAATTAAGAAGCTCAAAGGAGTCAGAACCCTGCCGTGCCTGGCCCCGCAACAAATGGCTTGAATTGAGGAGCTGGAAAGGTGATGTGCTTGCCCAGACGTTTCAAAGAGGACTTCAAGCTGTAGAGGTGGGCTATTTTCAAGATGTTTCAAGGTGTTACACAGAAAGAAATAAATACGGGACTTGACTGCCCAAGCGGCTATAAACGAACACAAAATCGACGGGCATCAGGAGTGGGAAGGCCTCACTTGTCTTACTCTAGCGATGCATTGTTGGCCAGATTACAGTGCCAGAAGAAATGTTTCATTGTGCTGTTGCCTAGCCACTAGCTGGGGACGGGGGTCGTGAACGGACAGGTGGCTCCTGCTTGGGGTAGTCCCCAGTGGCGTGCAATGGCTGCTGCTTTTCTAAAACATGAGGCGTTCGTTACCCTGAGTCACTCAACAAGTTTTCACGAATGTTTTGTAGTGTTATAAACGCTGTAGTGTCTTATAGTAACGCCTTAGAGCAACGTAGTATGACTCATCGCTGCGGGGGAGTTGTGGGCGCGCAGACTGGCGAGCGGTTCCGCACAATGAGGCCTCTTCAGCTTAACTTGGGACTAACTGAAGTAAAGTACAGCACCTATATTCATCTACGGCGGGCTGATCGCAGAAAAACAGGCTGGAAACCGACCGTTCTAACACTCCGTGCCCGGCAGATGCGGGAGACCAGACAACGGTGAGGGTCAACGGTCATGGAGGCAAACACCAACGCTTGCGACGTAAAAATGTTCTCCTAGAGAACATAAAATTGTTTGCTTAATTATCTTGTATCTACAACGAAATATTCACGGGAAATTGGTGCGCGTTGCATTGGCCTAGCGTGAACACGGGGCGTGCGGCGTTCCCTCGTGAGCGAAGGAAGACCGTCGCATCTCCATCTGAGCGCGCAAATCGCCCAAGAAAGGCGTAAAAGCCTTTCCATAGCACTTCCCTGTGTGATTTCTGTTGACGCTGGTGCTCAGGATAACCCAATAACGCCGAAGTCTTTATCGTATTGCCTTGCTGACATTGCCGACCGTGACCCCATAATGGGATTCGTGCACCATTAGGGAGGCAGGAACGGCCTTCAAAAATTCGAGTGCTCACAAGTAGATAGCATTTGCTCGAAGCTCATGTTCTGGAAGGACAGAACTCCGGCAAGACTGAAGCAACAAGACACTCCGATAACACCCACATTTTCGGTTTCCAGGTACTCCGATCACGGTGGGCATTCTCAGCGAAATCGAAACAACCAGTTCTACACATCTGCGCGATCCCAACTATCCAATTTGGTCATTATCAGTATTATCAAGCGTGTTGGTTGACAGTAAGCTTAGTGGATGAGAACAGAAGGCAAACGGAGCAGGTACGGAAGCAAGAACCTGTGCTGGACG